GAGCCTCCCTGTCTATCTGAGCGTAGTTGCGCTCAGCAAAAGACAGTGTTCTGGAGTAATATGCAACAGGAACCTGAGTTCCATCAGACCTGAGGTGGCTCAGGACAGCTCCTACCCCGTAAGGGGAAGCATCACAAGCGATGCACACAGGAAGGGACTCATTGAAGTGTGCAAGTACACTGTTAGAAGTGAGTAAGGCCTTGACCTCATTGAAACTAGCCTCATGTGTTTGTGACCATTGCCACACTGCTTGTTTGTCTAATAGCCTGTGAAGAGGCTCAGCTACACTAGCTTTATGTGGAAGAAAGGAATTGTAGAAATTCAGGAGGCCCAGAAAGGCCTGAAGTTCGGCCTTAGACTTTGGCCTAGGTGCTTCTAAAATGGCAGTTAGTTTGGATTCAGCAGGGTGAATCCCAGCAGCATCAATTTTGAATCCCAGAAATTCAGTAGAAGGCACCCCAATTTTGCATTTGTCTCTTTTGAGCTTGAGGCCTGTTTTCCTGAATCTTAACAGAACAGCCCTTAGCCTTTCAGCTAGAATGTGTGTGGAGTCTCCTGCAATTAAGACATCATCAAAGTAGGGGCAAACCCCCGGTATGCCCCGTAGTGTGTTTTCCATTACGCTTTGGAAAATCCCAGGAGCGACATTCACTCCAAACTGTAGCCTTTTTACCTTAAAGGCTCCCCTGTGGGTCACAATAGTCTGAGCTATAGCAGCAGCATCATCAACAGGCAGCTGTTGATACGCTTGAGCTAGGTCAAGCTTTGCAAAAACGCGCCCCCCCTTGAGGGAGGCCAGAATATGACTGACCACAGGAACAGGATAGGCATGTTGCTGCAATGCCTTATTAAGAATGCATTTGTAGTCAGCACAAATGCGAATGTCCCCATTTGCCTTTAGAGGCGTGACAATGGGGGTCTCCCAAGGGCTGGAATCAACAGGTTCTAGGATTCCCTGTTGGATCAGCTTGTCTAACTCAGTGTCAATTTTACTCTTTAAAGCAAAAGGGACCCTTCTTGCTTTAATTCTAATGGGTGTGACAGTGGGGTCTAGTTTTAAGGACACTCCCTTGAATGTGCCCAGCTGGGGGCTGAAGACATCTGCAAATTCTTTGCAGACTTCCTGTAGGTCGAGTGTTTGTAAGCTGTTGAGCCCCGTGACGTGTATCCCCAAGGCTTCAAACCAATCGAGTCCTATGAGACTCGTTCGTTCACCCCCTACTACTAATATGTCTAGTGGACCTTCAAAATTCTTATACTGTACGTTAAGGGTGGCCTCCCCCTTAACACACACTCTCGAATTTTGAAAGTCTGTTAACACAATGTCAGAAGGCCTTAATTTAGCCTGAGTTCCACTGCCGGAACAAATCTTCCTAAATGTATGTAAGGATATGATTGAAAGGGCAGACCCCGTGTCTAGTTCCATAGTTAATGGAACCCCTTGTAGCTTCACCTTGAGTGACAGCTTTTTCTTGATGGGCTTGTGTGTGCCTGTCCTGAAGATGCTTCTTCGCGAAGCGCAAAAACCTACCCTATTCTGGCTGGGGACCCTGGTACCTTTCAGGCGCAGTTCTTCCTGAGGTTGTACCTTTCGTCGGCCCAGACACACAGCTGCAATATGTCCTTGTTTCCCGCACGCCCAGCAGATAGCGGAGCGGAACTTGCAGTCGGTTCTCCTGTGGCGACCTCCACAGCCGATGCACTTGAGGGGAACTGCAGAGCTTCCTTTCTGATTCCCTTCCTTCGTGGGGTGGAGACGGTCGACTTCCTCGTCCGGATCCTCCTCGGAGTTCCCTTGGACGTCCTCTTGGTGCACGGATGCAACATCTGGACTGTTCCTGATCGGCCGCATGTTTTTGACAGGCGCCGCCTGCTGCTTCTTCTGCGGTGACCTCTCTTAAGGCATCTTGGAAGGACAATTCTTCTTTGGCGAAAAGCCTCTGTTGTAGATCTCGATGCCTTAAGCCGCACACGAATCGGTCCCTCAGTCGTTCTTCGAGGTCCTTGAACTCGCAGTGCTTGGCGGCCTTCCTCAATGCGGCGATGTATTCTTTGGCCGACTCTCCGGATCGTTGATCCCTCTGCTCGAAGGTGTGGCGCCATGCGATGACGGACATCTTGGGCTGGAAGTGCTCCTTCAATAGCTTCTTTAGATCTGCGTAGCTGACAGACTCTATTGGGACAGGTGCTGCAAGGTTCTCTGCGATTTCGAAGGCGTCTTGACCGCAGACACAAAGCAGGGTGGCAGCCTTCAAGCTATCTTCCCTCACTTGGTTCACCTTGAGGTAATTTTCCACCCTGGCTACGTAGGACTCCCACCGCTCTGGATGTGAGACGTCGAACTCCGAAAGCCTTCCAACCTTTGCCATTTCAGGAGACGGGTCTATCAGCCAGCCTACCCCCGAATGCGCACTGGATTGGCGGGTAGCTGCCGAGTCAACGCCGTTCCGTCGTTCCGCCGCTCAGGACTCACTTGGGTAAGCTTACACCTCTTTCTTTCCAGGCGATGTAAGGCATCCCACCTTCGTCGCCAGTGTTGAGTCCTTGGCGAAAAGCAGACGCAAGAAGCAGTTGTAGTTCTCAGGTTTCCTTTTATTCTGTGTTCAGCTTACAAGTGAAGGCTTCAGCAACGCCCAAAAGCTCCTAGCCTCTTATATAGGCAGTTCCCGGGTCAATGTGTTACTTTTCCCGCACCAGCACCCGCGCATGCGCACAGGCGCTGGCGACAGCCTGTCTGGTCCCGGGCAGCTTGCACCTGCCCGGGACTGCCTGCAAACGCCCCGAGCCCGTTTGCAAGGCTCGGGACATACCAGTTTTCACATCACGTTAGAACATAATTACACTAAAGATGATCCTGCCATTGAATTAGTATGATTGACATAGTCTACGAGGACAGTATATGATCTATTCTTTCTTATTAACTGGGTGTGGAGTATATTAGAAAAATAAATATATACACTTCATTTTAATACACTTGAAAACGTGGCAACCTCTATTTTACAAAACTCAATTTTTAAAAATAAATATTTTTTTGGTATTGTTTTTATGTGTGTGTTTACCTATTCACAGTGATATCAGATGTTGCTGATTAAATTGTTTTTAATTTACTAGCCAGAAGATAGAAATTTCCCATATGATTTGGGACAACCGCTAGAATGAATTACTTGTTTCAAGCTATCAATTGGGCATTGTTGCAGAGTAGCCTGTAAACAACTTAGTTAAATTTCAATTTTATAACATCTAAACTTCCCCCATTTTTTTTTTTTAAAAAAAAAGATTAGCTGATCACTTTACTGTCTATTTTTGCCTGAAATGCATTCTTTGTCGGGGGAAAAAACTATAGTGAAATTTTTTTTACAGTAAACATCAGCTGAATAAAATGTTTTGCAACCCTTTCCTTGAACTTCAAGCAAGATATTGGTTCAGCTGCACAACTCCCAGATGCTTATATAACTATAGAGCAGGGTCATTACATTCATGTTATAGAAAGGAAACATCATGCACACTGGAAAAGAGAAAAGAATGGGATGGGCAGGGAAGGGGAGGGGAGGGTTGAGCGAAACAGAGGGTGTAAATTAGCAGGGACTCCTTGTCTGAAGTCAAAATGACATCATGTTTATCTGGTGTGCTTGTATTTCCCTCAGTAATTATAATGAATGATTATTCTGTTTTTCTCCGTACCTTTGGACTGTGGAGTATTAACAGGATTTCATTTTGTCCCCCATACTGTTTAACATTAAATGGGGGGGGGGAGAAACCCTCCCTAGATTGAGATCATGTAGCTTTAGCTATGAAATTTGCTTGAATGTAGCATTGAAATAAGTAAAAGCTAAACAGCTGAAAGTTAAATTAAAGCAAGATGGAATTATTATAAGAAAGGTAAAGGAAATCAACTAGCGTTAGCCAGGATTAAAGTGTTCTATAATGCAGACACACACACACACACACACACACACACACACACACACACACACTTTACAATAAAAAAAATAATTGCTAACCATATGTTAAAATAACTGTTTTCCTATAGCAGATCACCTACGGTGAGTATAGAAAGTCTATAAACTCCCCTGTTAAAATGCTAGGTTTTGGGAATATAAAAAAATCAGACCAAAATAAATCATTTCAAAATTTCTTTTCCACCTTGAATACAACATAGAGGCTGTACAATTGATTTGAAAAACAAAATGACACACCGTGGATTAAATTGTTTAAATTAGTCCACGTTATTGATCTTAACAAATACATTTATTTATTAGATCCTGCCTTTGAGGGAAAAGTGTAGGTGGGTGATAGACAGTTATAAAATAAAGCCTTATAGAAGAAACAAGAGTTACATTTTTCCCCTTGTAATTCTAGAATCCAGACATCCTGTTAAATCAAATGACAGGAGAATCCCAGCAGGCAAAACTATGTACATCATCTATGCACAACACACGGTTAAACTATATAAAATTCACTGCTGTAAAATGTAATGGTGATTACTAACCTAGATGGCTTTAAAAGGGATTTAGTCTTACAAATTTTACTGTCATTAAGAAATCCTATTTATAATGGCTAGGGTCCTTGGCATCAGAGCAGATACTGAATATGATTCTTTTAGAAATCTCATACTGTACCTTATTTTTGAGCATCTCACAACCAGTACAATAAAGAATATTAGACTAGGACGGACATTGGTCTTGTCCATCCATTCATTCATTCATTCGTGTGTGTGTGTGTGTGTGTGTGTGTGTGTGTATTTAAGAATTTTGATTATAATAAAGTAATGTAAATAGTAAATATAAAACTAAGCTTAAATATAAGAGAATATCTTGCAGAATGCATGTTCACTGTGTTTTGCTTTGAATAAGAAAATGTGATGTTGATGACAATGAAATACAAAATCATTGGGAGGGAGTTTCTGGAATGTGTGTAAAAGTTTATTTCTATACTTGCATTTATAATTTATCAGACAAATAGAAATACTGTGTATGTATTATTATTGCAATCTTTTCCAGACGGCTGGCTGGCAATGACCTTGCTTTTATTCATCCAAAAGCCTTGTCTGGGTTGAAAGAACTCAAAGTTCTGTAAGTAATCAAATTTAAGTGCTTCATAGTATAATTCTTCTTTCTTGTCCAGTCAGCATGTTCACTGATAGAATGAGCAGAACAATATGTTTTTGCTCTAGTTTCTAGTACAGTATAGAGCTAATAATGAGAAAAAAGTTTTATTTTTCTCATAATTCAGATGTAACATCAACCTTTCAGTTAGTTGCTGAGAAAAAGAAAAACATGTATTTGTACCTCTTTTTTCTTTAAGGATCAATGCACAGAATACCATGGTTTCAGCTTAGACAAAATAGGTGGGGCGAGCCACCAGCAGTTATTTTTTCTGCCAAGCTATCTCCAAATGTGTCTGATGGAGAGCTGAAAGTCAACTAATCCTATAGGTCAGGGGGTCTTCAAACTTGGCCCTTTTATCACTTGTGGCTGAGGAATTCTGGGAGTTGAAGTCCACAAGTCATAAAAGGGCCAAGTTTGAAGACCCCTGCTATACGTGCTTTCCATTTAGAAAACATTTCTTGAAAGAATTTTTTGCAAAATGTATCTTCAAATTAGCCAGAATTCTTTCCAAGTGAACAAATGTCCCACTTGTGTACCTCATTATGATGCTAGATAAAATGTTTTGGGATAAAGAAAAAACAACTAGTCCCTGAAGGATTGCCTCTCTTCCTAATAGTGTTTTCTTTGATTTTTTTTTCTTTTTTATTATATTAAGAAAAAAACTGCTATAACAAGGAGAGCAAGGTTTTCTTAAGACAGACAGTTATATTACATTACAGCTATATACTGTATACTATTATTATAGTATATTACTATATATCATCTTATATTACACAAATACATTTAATTCAGAATTTTGAAATGAGGAAGGAGGCATATACAAAACCTATAGCAGGAACAAATTGTGCTAAATCAATGGATATCAGTTTACAGCTCTCTCTCTCTCTCTCTCTCTCTCTAGCACTTTGCAGAACAATCAATTGAAAACTATTCCTAAAGAGGCCATCAAAGGACTCAGTGGAATACAATCGTTGTAAGTATTATTGCCTGAATGCATGTTAGTTGGATTCATATTTTATATTTCATGAATTATTTTGTATTTTGGAAACTAAAATTATGAGGATTGTTCATACAGCTCTCTTAACTATTGCAAATGGAAGGCTTTTTAAATTAAAGCTCAAATAAATGTACGTAATAGAAAAACCTAACAGTAATACACAGCTCAATTATGGAAGCTCCAGAGACTTCATTATAGATTTTTTTAATTCATTGATTGATTCACTTTATTACAGGAGAACATACCCTGTGCTATATTCAAGTAATTATACATGATTTAATTTTTTATAAAATAAATAGAAATATCTAAAGGAATTTATCAAGTGTGGGGGTGCGAGAGGTTGGTCTTGGTTAGTCTTTCAGTAGTTCTTGAAGATAGTCAGATAATGGCATATAAATTTAATTAATAAAAGCTGTTTCAAAATGCCACCTCTTATGTGAATGTTAGCCATTTTCATTTTTCTTAGGTTAGTTTAGTTTAATTTTAGTTCGTTTTATGTAAACCACCAGGAATATTTTTTTATTATGACAGCATAGAAATAAGTTTAACGAATGAATAAATGAATAAATGTTAATAGTGCATAGATTCATAATAAGGGTGGGACACTTATATTTATTTTCAAGATTAACTCAGAGGTATTATATTTGCAAAGGGTTTAGAGTCCATAGTTGTCTTCCATTCCCAAATTTTAAATTGGTGCTGTATTGACAATATTATGCTCCAGAGGCAGCCTGGTTAATTATTGGAATTGTGCTTACCAGCCTGGTGTGAGGGTAGAGAAAAATAAAAGCAAATACAGTATGGTGACTGAGAGCACCCTGGCTGGGGTAGCTTCTTCTATATTAACTGAAGCTACAGAAGATTTGTGGTGGATAATAGTATATATAATGTAGTACAGAAATTTGCCTTGGATTTTGTATGAGTAATGGTCAAAAGATCTTCATTTGGCAGTATGCCTTAGATCAGTGTTTCTCAACCTTGACAATTTTAAGGCATGTGGACTTCAACTCCCAGAATTCCACAGCCAGCATTGCTGTGGTTGAGAAACACTGCCTTAGAGACATGTTCTAGGAAATGTTGCAGAGGTTGTCAAATACAGAGGCTAAGTAATTAACTTAAGAAGAGCATAAAATAGTATCTTGTGACTATATTATTAACAGAATTTGACCTTTTGAGGAAGGTTTTGTTCCAAAGAAAAATGCTTTGAAAATTGTTGAGATGTATAGTCTCAAAATAGATAACACTTAATATGTAAAATACTGGAAAATCTGTTTGTTGCCAAGATACTTTTTCACTAAATATTAACTAAACAAATATTTAATCTATCATCTCATTCCAGAATCTTCCAAATTAAATGTGACTTGGTTGGATGTCTGGCAACTTTCCCTTCTACATGGGAAGGGTGCTTTAGGGGGACTTTTAATTGATGACAAAATAAGTTTTTCTTCCTCTGAAGCTTTTGACTTTTTTTTTTTTTTTAGTTTAGGATAGTTTAATTTCCGGCCTTGAGTGGATGGTTTGATATCTTTTGATTTATTGAGATACACATTTTCTGACTACTAATTTTTTTTGTTAAAAATGAAAAATAATGCAAATCTGCTTTTTAAATCAAAGATTTGTTATCTGAAAGGTATGTTAACTTTCAGACTAAAGATTAGGCTTATTTGAGGTGACTGTCATAATCAATAATAGAATAATCCAATTGGGTTTCCTGAGCAAGGTATAAAGTGATTGAAAAGTAATGAAATATTAAATGATTTTTTTCTTATCATGAGCAGAACAGGGGAAGCTATTATGCTTATGTCTTGTATAATTAAAACTCTGATCTTTTTCTTTTTTCTTCCCTATATTCCATTGTATCCTTTTTGTACTACTAAGTCATACAGACTCTAATTGTACAGAGATATAACATGTAAAGGGATAATGAAGCATAATCATCTTAGAGGTTCTTCATTCATACTGCTTTATTCTTGTTGCTGATTAGTTTTTATTAGTATTTAGTGCTTGGATTTTATAAAACATAATTTATGTTCTGATTATAAATGTCATCTAAATCTCTTGACCAGAAATAATTGGAGAAATAATATTCTTACTTGGCGTTGCTTTCTTCACCTTGCCAGAAATGCATTTTATCAAAGGATGTTGTTATAGCCTTCTATTATGCTCATTGCTCATCACCTCTAACTTATGCTCTTGGGAATAAATTATCAGTTTGGCAAGTTCCTGCATATCACTCATTCATTTGCATCCTACATTTATATAAGAAATAATTGATCCTTTGGTTTTTCTGTCTGCCTTTTATATGCTTTGGAAATGGTTGAGGGAGGAAGGTAAAAATGAAATTGACATTTTTGGCCAGTGGCCACAATTTTATTGACCAGTCTTTAAATAGATTGCTTATGACCAAATGTTTCAGAGAAAGCTGTAACTTAGATAGTGAGAGGAAGCTCTTACATAAATTGAAATTTGACTTTGTAATAATTTTTTCTTACAATTTTTGTAACCACAGTTCAGCAACAGATCATTTTCAGAAGTATAGTAAAAAGCACAAGTACTATGTATATAATAGTACAGCATACAATTCTTTTTTATATTTCTGCAAATTAATTTTGGAAATGTAATATTTAAAATACATGAAATGAAATACATGAAAATCAGAGTGTTTGAGCAACACTTGATAAAGCTTAGTTTCTTATTAGCAAAAGTGCCTAAAACATTCACAGATACGTAGGTTTGTTGGAAAATGAACAAATGTAGCATGGAAACATTTTGGTTCTGGGGCATTATTTGTAGGTGCTAAGAGTAAACAAAAAACACGATCTAAATTATCTCAAATTTGATAGCATTACTTTCTGAAGGAGTTCTGTAATTGGGTTGCCATCATTGAGAATTCCGGAAAACAAGAATTGTCACATGGTGGAGGCATTCCTAAGATGGAGGCATAAATATGCCTTATCAGCTATTCAGGGGCTGACAGATACTGCAGAGCTTGACTGTTAAGCTGTTTAGATCTTATAGATTAATGCTGTCATGTTGAATTAGGGTGAATTGTTTGTAAGTAGCCAGTTCAGTCCTTTAAGGATATTTTAACTGTGATTACAATAATAAACCTGCAGGAATCCCTGGTAACTGAAAGAGGAGTTGCATTAAGTTCTCAGGTCAGTTTTTGCTTGCGCAGGAGGTAAATTATTAATGAAGATGTCCTTGTATTGCTTAAAAGGAGTATTCACTGAATCAATGAGTAATTGGACAATTATTTGTTTTGTATGTTTTGTGTTCTTCTGACAGATAAACTGTACTGTGTGGTGTATATAACTTAGTACCTTCTCTCTAGACTGATTTGCATGATCATTAGGCCCATGACTGAGCCTCTGGGCTGCGTTCCCCCAGTTTCAAATATTTACTTCTTTCTAATTGTTTATTTTTTAAAAATAATAATTTGCTTCTCATGTCACCTTTTGTTTAACACTCATATTCTTTTTCTTCAGACGTTTAGATGCTAACCATATTTCAGCTGTCCCAGAAGACAGTTTTGAGGGTCTCATTCAACTACGTCACTTGTGGCTGGATGATAACAGTTTGACTGAAGTTCCTGTTATCCCACTCAGCAATCTTCCCTCACTGCAAGCTTTAACTTTGGCTCTCAATAATATAGCCCACATCCCTGACTTTGCATTCAGAAATCTGTCAAGCCTTGTTGTCCTGTAAGTATTTGCATTCTGTCATCTCAGTGCATGCTTAATTTAAGCGAAAAATGGATTTATAACTTCATTACATTTTTATAAAGGAAAATTCTTCATTCCAAGATGCTTCTGGAAGGCAACCAGGGTGAAAACCAACTAGATATTCTCAGGGAGATCTTTCCAAAGGAAAGAAAAGAAGCACCACAAAGGTTCAGCCCATCTCATTCTGTATGATGAGAACCACTAATAGTTTCTTCCTGGTAGATCATATTGGCCAGACAGTGGGAGAATGCGATCCTGCAATAATTTGGTCCTAAACCATGTAAGGCTTTATTGGTTAGCACTAGCACTTCAAATTGCACCCACAAGCCTAATGTAATTATTGTATGGCTTGTAGTATTGGTGTATTATGCCCTCAATGTATTGGAGTCAATGAATTAATTGCAGCCTTTAAGAATAGCCCCGTGCACAGTGCATTACACTAATCTAAATAGACAGCATGACTCACTGTAGAAAGGGTGTTTTTTTTTTTGCATCAGATAGTACTACAACTGGCACACAACTAAAGCTGACAAAAGACCCCTGGCTGCAACTTCCATCCTCTAGTGCAGGCATGTCAAACTCGCGACGTCACATGTCGCACGATGTATCGGGCCTTTTTCCCCATTGCCGGCAATGGGTGAGCACGGTTTTGGCGTGACGCATCCAGTCCATAGGCCGGCAGTTTGACATGCCTGCTCTAGTGCCTTCATATAAAAGTTAAATAGGGGATAGAGAGCTCACTCCTGTGGCATGCTTCAAGAGAATAGTCAAAAGGCAAATCTCCCTCTCCCCCCCCACCCAGAAATCACCCACTGAAGAACGAGTGGAAATACTGAAACATAATGCCCCAATTTTCATCCCCAATTTTCATCCCCTGCAGGCAAGCTCAAAGGTATCAAAGGACTAGAATTGGTGTATTTCTCTTATCCTAGTTCACAATAAATGTCATGCATTAGTGTGACCATTGTCATCTTTTTTTCACATCCAAGCTTGAGTCCTGACTGAACAGAGACCAGATTATTTTATCTAGAGTACTTCACAGCTGATTTCCCATTACTGTCACAAGAACCTACCCTAAAAAGGAAAGATGGATACCTGATAACATTTCTGAAACCAGAGAGGGCCTCTTATAATATGTGATCTATAGATTTCTTCAGGGCCACTGGCAGTATTTTTTCCCACAGTTTGATGTTGGACTCTCCCAGATCCAGAAAGCTATCCACTTCCCCCATGAAGAAGCTAAGAGTGGCAAACATCCAGTCAGCAGAAGGCAAGGTATCACAAACAGCACCCTGTCTGCTTCCTGAGAAGTCATAGGCCAAAAGAAATCCCAGATATTGTCAATCATGACAATAACTCAGTTATAATTTTTCAACGAATCTACATGACTTTGCCAGTGAAGCATAATGACAAGGAGCTCTTATTGATTGTACCCTAGAGAAAATTGGCCATCCATATTAACTTCTGGAGTGCAGTTATTTCCCAGAACTAGGCCTGAACCGAGGCACGTACCTCTGCCCAGTTAATTTACTTCTTGTCCTTCCACACTGGCATTCCAGGTGTTTTTATGCCATTTCATCTCTCCATCTTAGCTTTCATGGGATCAGCTATAACACTGGACTAATTTACATAACCTTTCCTGTCATACTTGTGACTTGAGGAGAATTGTGTTATCAAGTTGGTTTTTGTGAAAATCCATTTTAAAAATCGTTTCTGGATTCTTCCATAGATTTTGTCAGAATCAGAGGGTTGACTTTTTTCACTCCTAGACACTTTATTCTTAAAAACAAAAAAAAATGCAGAGTGGATTTCAAAATATATAACTTATTTGTTCTTCTACTACCTTGCTTGACCACCAAAAGGATTTTATATGTTAATATTTCACTACTCAGGATGGTCTTTCCATTGTGATGCATTTTTTGCATAAAACTTAATTTTGGGAAACAGTGTGGCAAAAAATGATTCATGAAGTAATGGATTCTACATCCCCTTTTCTTTTTCAGGCATCTCCATAACAATAAGATAAAAACATTGGGACAACACTGTTTTTATGGATTAAACAACCTAGAAACTTTGTGAGTATTCTGACTTCAAATATTGAAATATTGACGTTAGGAATTTAAACTATTTCGTTTAGGCTTATAGTTAAACATAAATATGCTGTGATTATCCAGATTTACATACATTTACAAATATACTTAACTTTGTTGTGAAAGAGAACTGGTTACAACTTGGTTTGATTTTCTTTCGCAAATTATTTTGTTGCAGGAATGGGGAAATTTCACAGTTCCTTCAATGTATTACTTTGGTTTTGGTAGCTGGGCTGGTTTTAGCTTTGTTCTTTCTTTTTCCCTAGTTTTTCATCTACATAAAGAAGGAGTGATACTTGAAAAGAGAAAATGGAAAGAATTATTGCTTTTAGGGGTATAAACATGCAACCATGAAAAGTTGAGATATCATATATACTGTGATTATGCAACACATTTGATCTAGCGACTGAGACCCACCATGAACAGAAGTTATAAAAAATAGATATATATTAGTAAGATGATACTAACCTATTATTAATTGGCATTACCGAAGATCAGAGAGATAAAGAAATTATAGATAGGAACTGCCTTAAAGGAATCATTACAGTCAGTCACATTGTTGCAAGGTGAAAGGAAATAACATTCCCAACAATGAATAGCTGAGTGCCAGTTTTCTGAGTGAGGGCAGAATTGAGAGAGGGAAACTGGCATTACTCTGGAGCAAGAAGATCTTTGGCTCCTACCAAGAAGGACTTGTAATTTCATAGTTGAATGTCAACAGGGAGGGTAAGGCAAGCATTGCAACAATCAAGGACATTGGAGGGAGGGAATTCTAGTGATTCAGTATCCAGATTCTAAAATCTGTTAAAATTAATGAGCTAAATTATAACACTATCCTATGAGAGGATAAAGTATTTGAAATAAATGTGTGTCAAGTTAATGTGTGTTCATGAATTTATGGCATAGTAGGAGGCAAATAGCAAGCTTAAACCAAGAGGATTTAAATAAGCTAAAGACTGTTAATTATTTTTTTTTCATAATAGACAACATAATGCCATTGTTTATGTTCTTTCAAGGGATTTAAATTATAACAGCATGGTGGAATTTCCAGAAGCAATTAAATCCCTTCCGAGCATTAAAGAATTGTGAGTATTACTATATACTTTTATTTTTTTCCAACAAAAAATGTTTAGTTTTATGAAGATTATTTTTTTCCTTTTCTTAAACTAAAATGAATTAAGTTCAAATTATAGGATCAACTTAAAATAATAAGTAATCTGGCTTTTGGGTCTCTCATATTTGGTATTATTTAGTTGAGTGCAATGCAGATTATTTTTTTAACGAGTTAATATGACTATTATAATAACTTCCATTTTCAAAGAAGATTTTATTTCCTTTAAAATTGCCTCTTTAGTTTTGAAATATATAAATATATAAATTACATCATGTAACAGTTATCTTCATCAGGTTGTATGAGGTAAGTGTTCTCTATATCTCTTTCCTTCCTTACCAAATTCTTCTAGTATGCTTCTAAAATTCAGATTATTTTTACATTGTTTAGTTTCTAATGGCTCTAGCCTAGCTTCCAATTGTTTTCATTCTGTTTGCTGAGAGGTTTGGTTAAAGATAATTCTGGATAAATTCAGCTTGAGTTGCCAGACTCTAATATCTGTTGTCCATTTTTGCATGGAAACTATACTTACAGTTTTAATGTGTGATTGTTGAAATAACTTATAGAAAGATTATCTTCCAGTACATAGATCTTGCATATAAAGAGCTTTTGAAATTGTGGAAAAGAAGCTGAGATTGTTCCTTCTTACAGAATTTTTTTTACTTTGTTTCCTTTTACACATTTTGAAAAGATTATTAAAATTCGATATATGATCACCAAATAATAAACTATTAATCCAACACTTTCAATTTATTTTTAGGGGATTTCACAGTAATTATATTTCCATGATCCCTGATAATGCATTTATAGGAAATCCGCTTTTAAGAACAATGTAAGTATTTAATTTTTAAAAAAATTGGGGGGGGTGTTAATGGATCAAAAAATAAACGTATGAATGATAAAACCTGTCTTTTTTCCTCTTTCAGACATCTGTATGATAATCCTTTATCCTTCGTTGGGAACTCAGCGTTTCAAAACTTATCAGATTTGCATTCCTTGTAAGTACCCTTGCAGTTAATTTAAAATGAGTTTGTGCTAATTAGTCTTCTAATCCTAAGTACATATATTCAGTGGAATTACTTCTCAGAATCTTTGCTTTAGATTTTGTTTCCATAAATATAGGTAGTTACTTTTTCAAACAAGTGAACCTGGAACAAGACTAAAATAAGTGTAATACAGATTGTTATAAATAAGTGCAAATGCATTAGCTTCCTTAGTAAACAAAACTTTTTAAAAGAAGTTGGTAATAATTTTGGTTAATGCTGCAATGCTACAAAGAATTGAGAATATTCAACCTCTTGGCTTAAATCTGGCATTAGTAAATATTAGTGAGAAAGAGGAAGTTACCTCAGTACAAAACACTAGCAAAAAAATGTTAACAAAGCCTTCTGTTTCCATAGAGTTGATTTTTCTGTTGAACAGTGAAGCTGTAATGTATTACATTTCTGTTTTTCTTAGAGTTATTCGTGGAGCCAACATGGTGCAATGGTTTCCTAATTTAACAGGGACGATCAATCTGGAGAGTTTGTAAGTATTTACTATCAGACTTCAAAAATGAAATAACTAGTAAAGCTATGGACTTACATTTTATGGGTCTTAGGAGACGTGCCCTTTCTGCCATGGTATCCACTTTATAGAACACGAGTGTCAAACTCGCGATGTCACATGATGTGTCATCACATATTGTAACTTTTTCCCCATTTTTTCCCTTTTGATATCCCAGAAGACCTTCAAGACCTGATTATATTATCAGGCCTGGAGCTCCTAGGGAATTGGACACATCTACTAATGGCTCCACTGCTTAGATGATACCATTAATGAGCTGGCTATTTTATTCCCTCTTTACCTAATTTGTATTTCTGTTGTTATAATATTTACTATTACTGTGATTTTTGTATTTTTTAATATATATATGTGGCTTTTATACGTGATTTTATCTGTTTGTTATACACTGTCCAGAGTCACCTTCAGTGAGGTGGGCAGCTATATATATTTGATTTATTAAATAAATAAAATTATAGACCAAAATTTTGGAAGGCAAAGACATATTTATGGTGCCTTTTTTCACACACACAAAATACTGTTAATACGTACTTATTTAGATTTAATATGTATGTATTTAGATTCCGTGAATAGAGATAAAGTAAAGAAAATCAAGTTTAGTATATCTCTTAATGATGGAGATTTATTGTAAAGCAGTTTTTGTGCTTGATAGCGTTGGCGCAAAAAATGGGTGCTCAGAATTTCTAAGTATGCTAACAGGCTTGCTAGCGTATGCTTCCCAATTGTTTCTCATGAAAGAAAAAGTAAATAACAACAGCAGGAAGTTTAATAGTCATGGATGGCTTAGCATTACATCCAAATCATTGACTTATATGCCCTCTACAGCCAGAGTTGTTTGTTGATTAGATAGTCAGGATATTTTAAAGAGTTGTCTATCTTTAACATAATGATGAGATGCATACAATTAATACCTCCAAGCAAAAGTTACTGGAAAATCCATGAAGGAATTATTAGGTAGTGTGTATCAACCCTTTGCTATCAGTAAGCCAGAAATGCTAGCTTACTGTTTGTGTTAACAGGTCCAATTTTTAAACCTCTTGTTCTAAATAAAAAGCGTATTATTATAAAGTGGCTTAAGTGGATACATCAATACTTCTACAATACCTGGTTAAGCTAGGTTCATATGATTTATAGCGTTCTAGAAAAGCTGTTCCTTTAAAAAATCCTGTTTCCGGTATTCTTACAGATAATGGTATTTTATTCAACAGAACTTTTACAGGTGCCAAAATAAGTAATATTCCCACTGGTCTGTGCCATGAGCAAAAGATACTTCGGACTTTGTAAGTACATAAACTTCTGATTCTAATCTATTTTTATAAATAGGGATCATAATCTCAGAAAATTAATTTGATGTTGGTAAATTTGGTAATGGTTTGGTTTTTGGGGGTACAAAAAACACATCAAGACCAATTTATACAGTTTGTGTATTTATTTATTAAAATTATATGCTACCCATCTTGCCAAAGGCGATTCTAGGCGGCTTACAAGTTGGTTGACTAATTAAGAAACAAACCTTAATTAAAAGCCAGGTGTGTTACACATGATTTTTATTCAGTTCGATATTATAAGACTAGCTTATAAATAGTAGATTATAGCAAATCCTGTCCAAATGACATTAGGTATGCTAGGAAACAAATGTATAGTTAATGAACAGATGATAACTTCTAATAAATTGTGGTTTATTTCCAAATTTGATTAAAATTGTGAGGCAACATTTAAACTTCTAACTTCTTTTCTACCTTTTGCTTAATAAAGAGAGCTTTTAAGAAAATAGCTGATCCTGCGATCTTTAATGATTCCTCAGTAGCACATCAATTTACTATTTAATTTATTCCCACAGAGGATACAGTGTTAGAAATATTTCTTTACTATAGTAATTTTGTGACTTCTGAATTTAAGTGCTCTATTTCTGTCCTTCCACATTAAGTTAAATGGAAAATAATGTCAGTTTCTTAAGAAAAAACAACAACTAGGAAGAGGATGGTTTGCTGATAAAGCTCATAAAAACAAACAATTTTGTATAAATTAAGCTTGCTTTTTTCTTTTTCTTTTTTCCTTTTCCTATCTTTTAAGGGATTTGTCTTACAACAATATAAAAGAACTTCCACATTTTAAAGGTTGCAGTTCCCTAGAAGAAATGTAAGTAAAAAACACACTGGGTCTAATTTGTTAGTGATTTCTGTTTTGTTTGATTTCCTTATTTCAATCAATCAGAATAGAGCTGGAAGGAACCTTGGAAGTCTTCTAGTCCAGGGGTCCCCAACCCCTGGGCCGTGGACCGATACCAGGTTGTGGCATGCCAGCAACCGGGCTGTGCAAACAGGCAAAGCCCCATCCACGGGGTGCAGGCAACACACAAAACCATGCCCTCTCTGGTCTGCAGAAAACTTTTCTCCATGGAACTGGTCCCTGGTGCCAAAAAAGTTGGGGGCCACTGTTCTAGTCCAACCACCTGCTCAAGCCAATACTGTTTCAGACAAATGACTGTCCACATCTCTTCTTAATATATGTTTGGATTGTCTTACCTTTCGTGTTTGGTTAAGGCCTCTTGTGAAATGGCAGGAGAATGGATTCAAGCAGCAATGTTTACTTCTTTCAGTGAGGAGATATTTTCATTATCTCTGGAATAAGCTGATGTATACACCCTGCCCCCCAAATCTTTTTTTGACCTGATTATTTAGAATAATTCTGCGCCAGATAACCCTGCTCAAAGCAATCTCCCACTTGGACTACAACCTGAGGCTACCCTTGGAAAGCATTCAGCTAGTACAAAGTGTGGCTCAAGCATTTATGGGCTTATCCATATACACCTAAGAGACCATTTTGCTTTGGGTGTTGCACCGGTTGTTGGCTTCTGACTTGTGATTCGGGAGTGTAGTGCTCAGGACCAGTAGTGCTGGTGTTGTAGTGCTCAGGACCAGTATTTATCTACCTGTCCACTCAAGTTGAATACTATCAACACAGTCCATCTGAAGTGGGCATTTTGGATAAATACTCCCAAACTCTGGAATTGCCTCCCCATGGAGATTTAATCTGTTCTTTCTCTTTTGGGATTCAGGAGAGCAGTTAAGATCTGGTTATTGTCACAAGGGGGAAAGAAGTTGTGCTATGATTATTGATTTAAATCTCGAGAATATATACCGTATATTCCGGCGTATAAGGCGACACGGCGTATAAGATGACCCCCGTCTTCAGCGCCGAGTTGCATGCCTAGAAAGTCATCTTATACGCCGGAAACTATCATTATTTCCGGCGTATAAGACGACTCGGCGTATAAGACGACCCCCGTCTTTGGCGCTAATTTTAAAGCTTGCAAAAGTCGTCTTATACGCCGGAAAGTACAGTAGTATGTATTCTGGGAGAAGGTTTATCTATGTGGTCTTTAAGAGTCAACACAAACTTGACCACATTACTCAATGTTTTTTTTTTCCACTTTTGTGTAATTCTAATAGTATATTTGATTTATGTTGTGAATTGTTTATTTTGGAAGAGTATTTCTTTATTATTAGGATGGAGGAGGATTTAGTGATATTTCTGATTGTTAGCTGCCCAGAGCTTTTATAAATGGAGTAAGAAAATTAAAAAAAAAGTTTAATTGGTTTATAATTCATTGCAAGTGGTTGCATTTAAACCTGTGTTCTTCTTGTGGAAGCTGATCTGTTCTAACTAGTGTTGGAAGCATGCAGTATTGTGAATTTGATTATTTCTGTTTCCTTCCTGTTTCTGTTAAATTTAATTCTTTCACTTTTGGCCTCTTTCTTTATCTTCAGCAAGGTTTTAAAGATGTTCCCGAGTTCTAGAAGTACAGGATATTTTATATATTTCTTACTTCTGGTTGTCATTATTCGCTTCATGCTCTCCTTTGTTTGAGTCTTTTCTGTCTGGAGAGTCAGTTCCTGATATAGCACATTCTTTCTGTGATCTAATGATTGTTCATATTCTCTTAGGAGATGAAGTATTAACCTCTCAGTGCTCCAGTCTTTGTTTTTAAACAGCGCTATATGCTTACACTGGATGCAAATATATGCCAAGTTGTTTTCAGATAGGAACAGAAATTTGCCAAAAAGCACTGCAGGTCATGACTCAGAATCATTTCCATTCAGTTTCAGTTATGTTATGAAAGCATCAGATAAAAGGATTTTATTTCTTGTTCCGCTCTCAAAGACATTCTTTTGTTTTTTTCCACGCTATTTTATAAGCAATAATTAGTATTAAGTAACATGTTAAATGGGACTCTGTTTCACCAGAATATAATGAATCATCTGATGTATGCCTTTTCTTGATGAAAACATTCCTACCTAATTTCTGCATTTCAGATATTTGCAGCATAATCAAATTGAGGAAATCAAAGAAGATACATTCCAGGGACTAACATCTTTGCATACTCTGTAAGTATACTCTCTCTTTACAGATGTCTTTTAAGTTAAGAGAAGTTTGAAAGTGAATGGTTGTTTTCAGTTTTGGAAGACAAGCTGCTTATCCGAACAAAACAAAAATCAGTAAAATATCTATTGGCTTCCCATCTCAGATTTGGGGTGGTACCAATGATACAATCAAAATTTATTACATAAATCTTCCCCCTTTTTCTCCTTAATATTTTGAATATGTAAGTGTGTATGTACATTTGATTGAAGAAAAAAGATGGAAGAAGTAATAGAAAAAAATCACATTACATATTGTCATCTATCAAATTTTGTAAACAAATCCTCACTCAGAATCAGTCTAAATCCAAACCACCACTCCTGACTATCTATTTTAATCTATCTAAATACAACTGCCTCCTTACACATTTTGCTCATTTAAAAGCTGCACCAAATTGATAATCAGTAAACAAATATGATATTGTGAAATGTTTTCTTCAACAAGTCGGAAGATATATCTTGTGCCAGCAATACGAGTCCTGATGTTCCATGATTTGGATTTTTTTTTAAAAAAATGGATTAATATTTCAAACACTATAGGTAGTCCTCGATTTATGACCACAGCTGGGCCTGGGATTTCATAAGTTGGGACGGTCTATAAGTGGATCACCATAGGACCTGATTTGATTTTACAACCATTTTTTGAAGATTGTTAAATGAGCTACTGCAGTTGTTAACTGAATATATTGCCTGTATTAGGTGTTTTTGTCAGAAACTAGAAGTAAACAACAGTTCCAGCATTAAAAAAGTATTAAATTGTGGTCATATGACCATGAGATGCTGCAAATGGCTGTAAATGTGGGCAGTTGCCAAATACCCAAAATGTGATCACATGGGGGGAAGGTCAGCTGTCAGAACTTTGAATCCGGGTTATAAGTAACCCTGGGGAGGTCTGTTGTAACTTTGAACAGTCACTAAGCAATCAGTTATAAATTGAGGACTACTGTAAATGTTCTAGATTACAAGTGTGCTAGTTCTTAATCCAAGCATGTGAAAAATATAAACTCTTTGGTTTTCTATTAAACATTGGTTTTCATCTTTTTGCTTATATATTACAAGTTTTACATGTTGGAACCCACACTGCTTATGTTGGGTTGTGCTTGGTTTAATGTAATGGGTAACCAACCTGCAGGAATATTTGTAATTCTGTATTCTGATTGTGGCATATTCTGGTTTGCCCAAAAATGTATTTTTTTTCCTCCTGGAACTACATCTAGAATACCACAAACATTTTTCTGTTTTAGAAAATTTACTTCCAGAAATGACAAATCACCCCTGAAGCATTTAAATTGGTTTTACTCATATTTAAAAGCCATATCAAGTATTCTGAAACTTAATTAGCTGAATCTGCAAAGTAAATCAAATACACGTAAACCTGTGTTGACTTCTGATGGGCTTTAGTAAAGAATCATTTGTTCTTGGTAAAGATTTAAATGAAAATGACCCTTGATGCGTTTGAATTACAGATTCCTTCACTGAGTGGCCACAGACAGACCCAGCTTTTAGTGTAGGTTTATAGCAGAAGAGAAGAAATTAATAATGCAGACACACACACACACACACACACACACACACACACACACACACACACACACACACCAGCTCTTCCTTAGAGCAATGTAGGCTGAGATAACATCCAGATATTATAGGGAAATTGTTCCATTAAACTGATAGCATATGGCTTAACCCAATGACAGGAAGCAACTTTTTTGTCATGCAAAAGAGAATCTAAATACAAAGATAAGCCATTTTTAACATTAGTTTCCATTCTGGTGTCCATAAAGGCATTTTCCTATGTGGAGTAGAGTCTGGTGTTCTTTCCTAGCAACAAAGCAAGTGTTCATGCCCCAGGTTTCAAGATTTAATTGCATTCTGATTTAGGTAAACTGGTAGTGCCCTAGAGAACAGAGAACAAACAGAATATTACAGTTTCGTACTGTATGGAGCTTAGATCTTTATAGTCCCCAAACTGTAACGCTTTCCAGTGAATTAAGTGTTTTTAAAAGAATTAGATAAAGAAAATTGTCAAAATGACCTTGTAAAATACAGATAAACTCAAGTTATTTATCTGTTAGAAACTTAGTGTGACCTAAAACATAATGTAATCATTGAACTGCAAACAATGACCATTCGGAAGTGTCAGTGTAAATCACTAACACAATAGTTCTTTTTTAAAATTGCAGTGATCTCAGCAGAAACCTGATCCACCGGGTTAACAAGGAAGCATTTACTACGCTCAGTGCTATTACCAACCTGTAAGTAGGCCATTTAGCATAGTGCACATTTCCAATCTTAAAATATTATAACTCCTCAAAAAAACCATCTTTTGCACAGTGTGTTAAAACCATTCATCCTGTATCTAAAAGAAGCAAAAATAATGTCCAAGGTAGTATGTCATCACATATGTTATTGCACTTTAATGAAAAAGCCTGTGGAAACCTAGATTGACATTGATTTTCTTTCAAATCCCCATTACCTGATCTCATGCAAAGGAGATCTGGATCTCTTGGCGGCTTGCAATACCATCGACTGTGGTATCTTTCTGGACAGACTGTGGAGAATGGTAGAGAGAGGCACTGTTTTCCAGTGTTTTTCCTCCTTTCTTCACAGCTAGTGGCAGTTGTTTTTGGAGGTGGAAGGAGAGGTCCAGCCCTAGGCAACTACAATGTGGGATACCTCAGGGTGCAAATCTTTCAACTCTCCTCATTGGGTGAGGTTATCTGACAGCAAAAGATGTAATATCATCATTTATATATCTCCATCCCTGGCCAGGAAGAGAATGCCTTTTAGAAGTTCCACGATGCTGGATTCTGTGAAGGTCTGGGTGGAGAGGAATGTGTTACCTACCAATTGAGCCCCTTCCTGAACCAGAAAATCTTGCTCATAGTGACTAATGCCTTGTCACTTTCCTTGCAACAAGTTTTATGTGGAGCTTAGAGTTACAACACGACATTTCCAGGTGCAATTCAAGGTGCTGGTTATCACCTTTATAGCTCTAGATGGTACAGGCCGAGTTGTTACAGAACCGTCTTTCTTTGAAGTCATCTGCCCATTTCAGATACAGTGCATGCTCTAGATCCCTTCCCTTAAATGTTGACATCTCCTGGGACCTAGGAAGTGTGCTTTTTCAATAGGATACCCCAGATAATTTCCAGAGCTACCCAACGTGTGGGTCCGTCTTTATTCTGCACATGGGACAAGTTATAAGATTTCTAATGGAGAATTTTAATCAGCGCATATACAATAAATTTTCCCAATTTCTTTAAATTACCTGTGTCATATCCACTTACAGTTTTTAATACTCCTTCCATACCCGCTTAATGATTGCTGCCCAGTCGTTAGCTGCCCGGCTGCATGGGACAGTTTACTTGTCAGGGTGGCAAAAGCTGCTGTGTTGTCAGAAATGACAATCCTTGCAAGTATGGGAAAGCAAAGGAGACTGGTAAATATCTGCCTTTCCCTTTTGGATAAGATGCTTGTCGGACAAAATAAATGTAGCAACAGGAAATCTAAAGTCAGTGAAATGCAGCAAAAGAGGTCAGGTCCCAATTCATTCTTAGCTATGAAACTCACTAGGTAATCTCTCAGCTAAGGCTTTTTTTGCTTTTATTAAGCATATGCCTTTGTAAGTTTCTGGAGGGCTACAAACACTATAAACCAAAAAAAATAGATTGCAGCTTTTTAGTAGAGCCTTCTTATTGTAGAATTACTTGCTATTTCTTCTGTTTTTGTTTTGCAAATTCAACTGTTTGGTATTTTTGTTCCCCTTCATACTTATTTCTTTCTCTCCATCCCTTTAGAGACTTGAGCTTCAATATGTTGACTTCATTTCCAACTGAAGGTCTGAGTAGATTAAAGCAACTTAAGCTGATAGGCAATATTGAACTGAAAGAAACATTATCACCAAAAGACTTCACGAAACTAAGGTGAGTCAATAATTAAGTTGGTACCCTCATATTTTAACTATACAGTTACTCTGTTCAGATTACACTTGCTTTCCCCAAATCATGTCAGTTCAGTTAAGACACCCTTGTATTTTAGCAAGCACTCTTGCATTTTATTTAGAGATTCGACAATCATTTGTCTGAGATAGTATATGTTCTCCTGCCTTGGGCAGGGGAATGGACTAGAAGACCTCCAAAGTTCCTTCCAACCCTATGATTCTATGATTCTACACTTAAAATCCCTGCTGAATTCAGAATTATCACCAAACCACTCTTCTTCTTTAGTAATGTATCACTATAAGGCTTCTTATGTTCTTCTTACTAGTAGGAAACTAATCCAGTGTTCAATCTGTTGTGAAGAATTGGGACAAAATTCTTTATTCTTCCATGTATATGTCAAAAATTTAAATATGGACTCGTGCTGTTTCTGCCTTTCCCAAATCAAATTTTGGTAGCTTAACCTTTCTCCATAGCTTATCTGGAGGATGAAATGCTAAATGTCCAAATAAATGTATTTAGGCCTTAAAATATTTTACTTAGAGAATTCACCAACTGTTTAGTTGCAAAGAAGATAAGCTATTGGAAAACCATACAGTGAGGAATATTGCAAATAGATCTTGATTCACATTGATTATAGATGCACAATATTTTATATACTCAGTGCCCTTTATGGAAAGGAATGTATCTCACAGGTACCATGCTTGTTTTGCATTTCTAAGCGTATATTTAATTCTTTTCATTTCCAAATTGCATTTCAAAAGATTTTTATGAAATTTTTGGGAGTTCATGCCAGCTGACTAAATTATAATGAAGTAGCTGATTATAGACAACACTGAGATGAATTACAAGAAAGGAATTTCTTTTGTATTTTTTTCTTTTATAAGACTTCTAACTTATTAGTCAAGTTCAGCAGTCTCTAACACAGCGGTTCTCAACCTATGGGTCGCGACCCCATTTGGGGTCGATCGACCATTTTACGGGGGTCGCCAAACAATGCGATCCGCCATTTTCCCCCCTCAGGGGGCGCCGCCGCGCATGGGGGCGCCGCCACGCATCCACGCCACGCATGGGGGCGCCGCCGCACATCCGCGCCGCGCATCTGCGGCACGTTTGTGTGACGGGGGTCGCCGTCACACAAACGTTGAGAAACGCTGCTCTAACAGAATTATAAAACTCACATTTTACATTAATAATATACCATATCCAATCTTTGGCATTTCTATTTTAATGATATTTATCAGTTAGACTTTTACCTTGGTCATAGAGAGATGGTGCCAAATCAACATAACTAATATAAGAATTTAAATGGTTTAGCTGTATCACTAGGCTCTAAAACATTTATAATTCAGTTTACCTATGTTTCATTTTGAAAATCTTGAGATAATTATCAGGTTTAACTTCCAGATATAGAGGGAGCAAGCAAGAATCTGTAAAAAAAAATTCCCAGCATACTTTTAGGGAATCTTGTACTCTGTACTCATAGAACAAGTAATACTGTAGACAGGGTTCTCTGGCTGATAGATAGATAGTAGTACCAGACATTATAAAGTATTGGCACCAATGCACTGTAGTGAGTAGACCTGCATATTGACTTTGATACAGTTAAGCTTCTGTCCTATGTGTTCATCATAAATAAAATGGGAAAAAGTACATTTCCCATTTGATATATAGAATAGGAATTTATAGTGCAGTACAGTGTCTGAGTGTAAGAGATCCCAATTGTTAGGATTCTTCAGCTTTCCATCAGGTGTTCATTATTTTAGAGCAGGGATGTCAAACTCGCGATGTTGCATGACGTATCACAACTTTTTCCCCATTGCCCGCAATGGGGTGGGTGCGGTTTCAGCGTGACGCATCTGGCCCATGGACCAGCAGTTTGACATGCCTGTTTTGGAACAGCAAGTAATCATGCTTTAATTAATCTTTTTTTATCTTTTCCCCCACTCTCATTTCTTACCCAGGGTAAGAAAGAGTAGTGGATTACTATAAATCTTTTAACATTGACATTGTCAGCATAAATACTGGATGGAATGAGTTTGCCCAAAGTATTATACTCTTGAAAGAGCAACAACACCTATTGTTTCTGCTCAGCCTACAACTGCAAGAAAATAGTATGACAAGTATACACTAGTATACCAAATGCACAAACATTCTCAGAAGTTAACTTGAATTATTTCCTTCATTAAGGCTAATTCAGAAGAAATAAAGGGCAAGGCTCTGTTGTTTGTTAATAACTTTTGTCAGTCCTCCAAGGTACACGAAACCTGAAAACATATAACCTAATACTTTTATTATAAGGTTATAGTAACAAAATCTTGCAAGTCTGAATGTGCTCTTTCCTCCTTTTTCAGGAGATCTAGAAAGGGTCATGTCTGAAAAAGTTTCTCAAATTATATTTCTGCCCCAGACTCAGATTTCTTTTATCTAGCTGCTGTATTTCCTCTGGCTTTTCTTCCTATTCCTTCTTTTTCTTACACATCTCCTATGGAAAACTCATTTTGGATAAGCCCAGCAGGTCAGATGTATCCCCGCTGTTTGGACATTGGTTGATGAGTTTTTATTCAGAGAGAGAGAAAAGCTGATCTAGTGTCTGTTAGCACTGATAACGTTACTGTTCTGTTGGTAATATTTTTCATTTGTTATATGTTTAAGGTTAATCGGAATTATTAGTTTTTTAATAACTAAGTAATATGACAGGATACAGTTAAAAATAATAGAAAATATGGATCTGACCTGTTCTGAATGCATAAATATTTCTGACATTCCTTGAATTAGTTAAGAGAGAGGGACAGGGCAGGAAATCCAGACTTGCAGTATGTAGAACTTCATGTAACCCGAGAGAACAATAAGGATGACAGGTGTGGGCTTAGTGCTTGTGCTTTCCTGGGAATTCACTTGCGCAAGGCTGTTGCTCTCCAGCCAACTTGATGAACGTTCATTTCACTATGCACAGGTAACAACATGATTTCACAAAACATCTTGCTTCTCTAAAGATAACAACACTATAACATAATATTGGATTACATTCAGATGAGTTTTTCTTAATTTTCAGTTTGTATCAATCTATATTGTATCTTTTTTCTCTAAATAAAATCAAGCTTTAGGAAATTGCAACATTCATTTTAACTTCAAGATTTTCTCAGAAGATATTTTTTGGGGAAAAAAATCTGCTTCAAAAAATGCTACTGCTTAAAGAGGTGAGGGGAGAAAAGCTTGTCAATTCTCCTGTTGAATACCAAATTGGACATGAATGAGACCCACTTCATGAATGATCTGATCTGGAATGAAAAGATGGTATGTGTGACAGACACCTGGTTGGGTGAGCTGGACAGTATCATCTAATCTCAGATATTCCTACCTGGTTTCTGTGATGTGAAGCAGAGCTATGACATGGGCCTCAGGAAGGGGAGAGTTCCCATCATTGTAAAGGATTCCCATTCCATTCTCATGACAGAGCCTAAAATGACACAGGCTAAGAGTTCTGAGTAAATGTACCTAGAGCAGAATGAATAAAATAAAACAGAAATCCTGATGGTACTCTAGATATTCTGCTGCTCAGGAACTTTCCTAATTGAACTAATAGTGCTAGTCTTAGAGATGGTGTTGAATCTCAGCTTAGTACTTGAGATTTTCAAGCTCTTGAGTGCAGCTTATTAGTTCATGGTCATTGTGACTTTCTTTAGCCTATTTCAGGTAATATCTACCTCCATTTCTCTATCAGACTAGAGAACACTTTGGCCTAGACCAGTGGTTCTCACCTTTTTAATGCCGCGACCCCCCAACCGGTCGTAAGTCGAGGACTACTCAACTGGTGCAGCACCGTTTGCAGAATGGGACTTTTGGCGGGCTCAGCAGGGCAGAGACAGCCTGGACAATTCCTATTGGCTTTTGAAAGCCAATAGAATTAGACTCTATTCAAGAGAGTCTATTCTATTGGCTTTCAAAAGCCAATAGAATAAAAGGGAGTAGCACAGCTAAGGAAAAAGGGGAAAAAATGGCGGACTGCATTGTTTGGCAACCGCCAAATGGGGTCCCGACCCACAGGCTGAGAACCACTGGCCTAGACGTTCTGCACTGAGGAAGGTATTCCATGTCACAAACCTTTTTATCATAGATGGATCAGTTAATAAGGCCCACCAGTTATGGCTTTTGGATCCTGTGAAATTCAGAATTTGCTTATTATTCCAGCTTTCAGTTGAGGCCTTTGGTATGACAGGCTGGAACGTCCAACTAAAGCTATTGACTAATTGACTCTTAAACATGTTTTGACTCTTCATCAAAACAGCTGTTTTAGTGAAAAATTGTGAGGGATGAAGCAGCCATACCTATGGCTAGGCTGCCAGTGGCAAAAATCTAAAAGCTAACATGACTCTATTATGTTTTGGAAGGTCTACACCAAGGAGAAAAGCTTTTTCTTTGCTACTACTGAATTGTGGAAAATCACTTAAGGAAGCTCTTCTGCTAATATGAGTGCTGACATAAATCCAGAAAGTTCTGGAAGGTCTGTTAGAGTCTGTGATGGCAAATCATGACAGCCATGTGTGTTTGCTTTTGTTTTCTCTGAGAAAGTTATTTAGATCTGCCAGCAACATGACTAGTGGAGTCACAAGGGATGAGGTCAGGATTATCTCTCAGTGTGCTAGAGTGATTGTGAACAGCCCCTATTTTTATCTGTGATGGATTTACTAACTACATCTCTTCCTAGAGATTCCTGGCCCAGCCATTATTACCATCAATGGCTACTTTCCTGATAAGTTACTATAATGTATTGTAAATAAAGATGTCCTCAAAGCAACCGGTTTAGAATGGGACAGTGAAGTCCAGGTCAGATATTATATAGAAAGTTACGCTTTTTTTTATTGTTGGCCTATAATTATGAGGTCTTCATTATTATTCTATTTTTATTTATTTGTTCTTACATTATTGCTATGTACTACAATCAGTTGTACCAAAATACAAGTAAAATAAATAAAACTTTTTTTTTTCTATCGTTCTCTTCATACTTTCAGATCTTTGTCTGTCCCTTATGCCTACCAATGTTGTCCTTTCTGGGGTTGTGACTCTTATTTGAATTCCAATACTGAAGATCCCAGCCTCCAAAATCAGAGTCAAGAAATCATAAATGATCAAAGTGAGTGTTCTGTTACAATCATAATATATGCAGATTATTTAAAAGTTAAAGGGATTTTAAGGATGTTAAATAGAGCATATGTTAATGAATTCAGTTGTTAGCTATGTTTATAGTTTGAACATAGTCTGATATTTAACCTATTTAAACACTCATGCAGAATATTTTGTTTTTATATTATTTTATGATTGAGATCAGCTGGGGCTATATAATCCATATTACGTGATTTGGGTATAAACATGTATAATATTCTGGTCAAAAATTCCAAAGCAAAAGCATGCTCAGTGGCATATCAGGGCCTGGATAGAATCATTTTTATTACATGGAATTATATTTTTGAAGAGGGATAACTGCTTAACAATATGTTTATGTTTGAGTATATTTCCATGTTAAAAAAATGCTTTTCCCCTGAAAAGCTGCCTACCTAAAAGAATTTCTAAAACTTATCTTTGCTAGAGTGTTTATTACGTAGTGTTTATTCATTTGGAACTTTAAAAAAGTGCTGTGGGTCTCCACAAAGTGTCTGTCTTGCAGGCATACCATATGCAAAATGATAAAAAGTTATAATAATTCAAAAACATTTCCTCTTTATTTTCCTCAAAGTATAAACATAGCTCACCTCTGAATTCAAAGAAATGGTATCTTATCTGATTAGATGTGGTTGGCATTTGTAGGAACATTCATAAAGGTCTTTGTCTCATAAGAGTATAAGATCTGGGATGTTTTATCTATTTGCTCTCTGGAGGCATGAATATATGTTTTAATTTGACAATGGCTTATGAATAATCCATTGCAAATTCAAGAGTTTTATCACAATATATTTATATCAAATCCAGGGAAAGCAATATGTATGTGTGCACCTTTTCTCTTTGTGTTCATGAATTTTGAGAAATCTCTGATGGTACTGCATGGTTTCCATAAAGAGGCACTGTAGGCAGTGACTGGAAAAAAATGAAATTGGACAGCAGTGAGCATTTTCCACCCCCTATGTTATAATATTGTATTAGAAATGCCATATTTAGCCTAGCCACTTGCAAAGAATTTTGAAAATGCTTTCTTGAGTACTAAAAAACCACAATTAAAAGGAAAAGAATGCATAGCTATTGGAGCTGTAAATACAATTCACAAAATGAAAATAAAATTTAATAACATAGAAAAATAATGTATAGAGACAAAAAATATCAGTACTTTAAGATATAGGGAGAAAGGATAAATTTGAGTTAAGCATATATTCCAGAAAAGCATGGATAATAAATAACACTGAGTTGCAGAGAAACTACTTCTAGTTTAAAAATGTTCAACCATCTGTGCTTAGTTACTGACTTCATGAATTGGAATAGAAAAGGAAGACTTTCCATTTTTCTATCCCAATCATGGCTAGAGGTTTTATCATAAATTGAGACTTCTAATGACACATCCTGTCCTTGGAATTCAGGATATAATTACTGCCCATCTGTTATGTTGTGATTTACTATATCCCATATTTTTCCAGTCTTGGCTCCTCTCTCATTTAATAATTATTTTCCTTTTTTTATGAATTTTTAATGAAGTCTTGATGGGTGTTCATGGCAATGCCCCTGAGGAATCTGTTTCTTATCCCTGTTTTAAGTAATTCTATGTAACAGAAACTGTTGGTTGTAGTAGTCAAAGCACAGCTCTAGAATCTAGGACACCATGCATTCTAATCCTACCTTGGGCACAAAGCCAGTTGGATAACTTTGGGGCCAGTCCCCCTCTCTCTTAGTCCTGGGAAGAAAGCAATAGCAATTCACTTCCAAAAATCTTGCCCAGAAAACTGCAGGGATTTGTCCAGGCAGTCACTCAGAGTCAAGATTGACTTGATGAGGAAAAAAAAGTTAGTTTCTTGAGTTGTTTTTTTTAAAAAAAAAAAAAATATATCAAGTAGATTTTCATATTTCTGTAAACCTGGTTTTCTTGTCCTTTTAATCTAGGTGCACCAGATGTAGATGACTTAAGTAGCGCTGAAGTGAAAGAACCAGGTCAAACAGTAATCCACTGTACTCCCACAACAGGTACATATTCTGTGGCCACTTCCTCTTCTATTTCAGATAAATTTATCTCACATTATAGAAGTTTGTTTTATTTATGTATATAGTCAATTGTGTGATAAAAGATACAGGTAGTTTCCTTCGCTGTCTGCCTTTTGTCAGATGACATTTTGCCTGCTCTTCAACATAATAAAGGAGGTGCAGTAAAGGAAGCATCTACAGCATACAGTATCTGTTTAAATATTCTGAGAGACCTTTTACTTCTTAAAGCAATCTGTTCCACTGCCTGACACGGTTAATGTCTAATGTTTTTTGCAAAGTCTGCTTCATTTCCAGTTTGCATCTGTGGCTACTTCTCATGCCTTCTGCATGACATCATGAGATGTTTGCAGATTGTGTTTTGTGACTCTTTTGCAACCTAAGCTTAGTCAATGTATTTAATTATTTTGATAAAACTTAATTTTTCAACTCTGATTTATTAATGACCTTATTAAAATATAGTACATAGGCATGGCCTTAATGCTCAAGGATATAATAAAATAAAGTAATTACATCTTCTGATGCAGATACTATAAATTTATATAGTATAAAATTGGTTTTGTAAGTAGCTGCATCACACACAGCTTTTGATGAACTAAAATAACTGGTTCCTTTTTACATCCTTGGATGATATCTCTTCTTCTGTATATATTGCTTTGATTCCTATCTAAGCAAGGCCTTATAGGTTTTATATATTTGTTGTTCTGTTTTCTTGTATTTTTATCTGTTGTAGCTGTCCAGTCGCTATGGCAAATTAGGTGGCCAAACAATTCTAAATAAATAAATATTATCCACCCTACATTTTATTTTATTTTAACAACAAAATGAGGAGCTTCTTGCATATTATACTGAAATCAAAATGTGCTTATATTTTTGTTTTTTCTTCATTTATCATGCTATTTTGAAAAAAAGATAAGGATTTTTCACTAGATTAATAATTGATAAATATGTTGGCTCTTAATAAAAACAATATACTTTTCTCTAACTGATCTTTAATAACCTGATTTGACCTTATTAATATGCAGCTATTTAATTTTAATTTCCCATCCATCCATCCTTCTACTCTTTTTAAGGATAAATGTCTATGTCCTAGCGTTCTCTCAGAATTCAGACTGACTGACAAACTGGATTTTCAAAAATTGCAGACAAAAGCTTTGAAATAAGACATGCAAGCTTCTTTAGCATCCCTAGAAATATGCCGCTGTTTCCAGAGATATTATTCATTTACTGTAGTCTAAGCATCTGCCATAAGATCTTCTTTACACTGATATTTTCCTTTTTATTGTGGATCAAAAATAACCTTTGTCATTCTTCTAGCATAATCTTCCCTTATTTTCTAATGAGGCAGTAGTCCAGCACTTACTGCAAGTTCTCCATTAGCCAGTTGCTTAGGGAGTAATGTCATCCTGTCCAGCTGTGTTTCCTGCCCTGGGGTTTCTGCTTAATGTTTTACATCCTTACCATGTTTAGATACGCTACCGCTCAGGAGATTTGGAAACAGATGCAAAATAGATTTTGTAGTAGAAGTAAGAATAAGTGAAGTATCATCCCACTTTCTTCCCTGTTTTACTAAATGGAGGAGTAGAACTAGACAGTTTGAAGATTTGGCAAGCAGCTTTGTTTGAGAGTCTAAGTGGTATATAGAAAAACCCATAGCAAAGTCATCCCAGGATGTAGGGAGCTCAGAGCTGCTAGTGTTCATTCTCGTCCTTTTCTTTTTTCCGAAAATACTACATTTCATCAGTACTTCTATTTTACACATGTTCCATTTATGAATTTATAAACTGCTTCAGTCAAGGCTTCCTTAAACAGGGCACAAAAACAACAGTTTCAGCCAATGCAGCCATTACTATAATACACAATATCAGAAATACAGAGTATATTTCACACAGGTTATAAAACTGTTTCTTAAGTGTGTCTTAATTTGATTGTTGCTATTTCAAGAATATTTTCTTACCTAATTGCTTCACCTACCTTTCTTTTTCTATTAATCTAACCCTGAATGTAAATGTTCTTACGTTGTTTTCAGGAAAAAAAAATACTTATTTGTTATAATATGCTACAACTGGCAACCTTTTTTTCTTAGCACATTTTTTTCCACTGTTTTAGGTGCTTTCAAGCCATGCGAATACCTACTGGGAAGCTGGATGATTCGTCTTACAGTCTGGTTTATTTTTTTGGTTGCCCTACTCTTCAATATACTTGTCATCTTAAGTATATTTGTTTGTTCTACTTCACTGCCTTCAATCAAATTGTTCATTGGCTTGATTTCTATCTCTAATTTACTGATGGGGATCTACACCGGTATATTAACTTTCCTGGATGCAGTTTCCTGGGGACGGTTCGCTGAATTTGGTATTTGGTGGGAAACTGGCAATGGTTGTAAAGTGGCTCAGTTTCTGGCTATATTCTCTTCAGAAGGGGCAATTTTTTTCCTTTTGTTGGCTACTATTGAGCGGAGCTTGTCTGCCAAGGAAATCATTAAAAAGGGTAAAAGCAGCCATCAAAACCATTTTCGAATTGCAGCCATATTTGCATTCTTGTGTACATTGATGGCAGCATGCTTGCCAGTCTTCCATAAAGGAGAATATTCTGGGTCACCCCTTTGCTTACCTTTTCCTACTGGAGAAGCCCCTTCTTTAGGCTTCACAGTTACCCTTGTGCTCCTTAATTCATTAGCCTTTTTGCTAATGGCTGTTATTTATACAAAACTTTACTGCAAGCTAGAAAAGGAAGATCTCTCCAAGAACAATCAAGCTAGCATGATTAAACATGTTGCTTGGCTCATCTTCACCAACTGCATCTTTTTTTGCCCTGTTGCATTTTTCTCTTTTGCTCCACTCATCACTGCAATCGCCATCAGCCCTGAAATAATGAAGTCTGTCACTCTGATATTTTTCCCACTGCCTGCTTGTTTGAACCCGGTTTTATATGTGTTCTTCAACCCCAAATTCAAGGAAGATTGGAAGTTACTGAGATGGCACATCACCAAGAGGAACGGGATTGGAACAGTTGCTGTCAATACGCAAACTGGCTGTAGGACTCAGGATTTCTACTACGACTGTAGCATGTACACACATTTGCAAGGTAGCTTGACCATGTGCGAATGTTGTGAGTCACTTCTTATATCCAAGCCTGCACCATGTAAACATTTAGTAAAATCTCACAGTTGTCCTGCTCTGACTGTAGTGCCTTGCCAAAGGCCTGATGGCTGTTGGTCAGATTGTGGTACACAGTCTGCCCATTCTGATTACGCTGACGAAGAGGACTCCTTTGTATCGGATAGTTCAGATCAGGTGCAGGCCTGCGGGCGAGCTTGCTTTTATCAGAGCAGAGGCTTTCCGTTAGTTCGCTATGCCTACAACACCCCGAGGATTAAAGACTGAAGGGCTTTACTGCAAGCAATCCATATGCTAAAAAGGAGGAAGCACGATGCTTCATATATAGACCATGCCTGTTTCATTCTTTCATCTGAAAGCACTTTTATTAATCATTGTATGATATTAATTATAAATAAGGGATATAGGCCTAAGTACCGTGAGCTATACATTTTAAATAAGAGCTGTTGCTTCTTTTGTAAATAATTAGAAAACCAAAATTTGTAATCCATTTTTAAAAACTTTTTTTCCAAGCAAGTATATATTATATTTGAAGCTTATTTCCATGTTACGCAGTTTAAATTTCATTTTTCTGTTGTGATATGGATCCTGATAACTTTTATAAATAAGCACAACACAACAGAATATTATAGGGTTTTTTTTTGGGGGGGGGGGTATTTTTGGAGCTGGGCAAGGGGGGCTGTTGCTAACTTTTGTATAGCATTTTTGACTGAATCTCAGGACAATTTACTGCAGGGCCAAAAGATGGGAATATTTTTCCCATATGCAACTGTGAGATAAATACAGGCAAAACATTCTTTTTTAGGTCAAATTATGGATTAATTTGTCTATAATTAAAACTATTTATTTCAGCCAAATACTTATCACCCCTATAATATATTCTGAGTAATTTGGCATAGTAATTTTTATTTTGAGAGTACTGCTTGAAAACAGTTTGAAACTGATCTTTTGCATACTTAAGTGGACATCAAACTCAGGTTTGCTGCACTAATATTTAACCTCTGTTGAAAATATATGCTATTAGAACATTCCTATAGTCTTGAGATTCACTTTGGAGTTCTGCCATAACAGTTGTTTCATAACAGTTGTTTCTCGCCTCCAAAAAGGGGATGTTCTGATCTACATGCATTGGAAAATGGATATATTGGGAGCATTCTAATGCCTGTTTAAGTAATTTTCACAAAGGCAACAGAATACTCCATGGTCCTATAATCTTAAATGTGCATGTTGGGTTATATATTATTTTGACAGCAAAAAAAAACTAACTCTACTTTGTATAGATGAAAATCTTTTTATTTTCAGTGAAACTACAGCACATAGTAGAATCTTCCCCAACCTGGTGCTCTCCTGATGCAGATTAGTAATTCTCAGATACACATCTGGAAGGTACACAGCAAAGTCTGAGATAGAATATACTAACAGAATAGGTTTTATAAGAGTAAAAGAGGCTGAGATGTTCCTAATGTAGAGACAGAACAATGTAAGGTACCTATACTAAGGATCTTCTATTTCATTGTAATGTTACAGTAATGTGAAACCAGGTTGACTTTCCTTAAAAGGGGAAGCAAGGAGATGCACAGATCATTGCATTTTAAAATTAACCTTTTTCTCTTATTATCAATGCATAAGCTACATTTTTTCAAACAAAATGTTAAATGAGAGCAATTCTACTGCCAAACCAGAAATTCTGGCACATATTTTATTAAATAACATTAGAATTGCAGTGATGAAAATTAAACTGTACATAGTGTGCATAAAAAGAATTTTTCTTGGTTTGTAAATTATTTGATAGAACACTTGATGGGAAATGTGGCTTCAGTACATTTTGTTAATTAAAGCTACCTCCTGAAATATAGAAGCTGCCAGTAGCAGAATGTTTAAATTGTGGTTTATATTTTTTTCCATTGTAAATAAACTTCAGTTGTATATTGTTACTGTAATAAAACCGGAAGCTTTGTGTACCAAAATTAATTAACTTGTACAAAATATAAGCTACTATCATTCTTGTATACTATAATTTTGTAAACCTAAATTGTTCCTAGTAAAATCATAGAAAAAATGAAAACAAGGAAGTATTCTAATATGTTCTGTTGTTATACTTACATCTCTTAGAGTTGTATATTTAACCTAATGCTACAGGCCAAGTGCCATGTAACTTTACACATAGTATTACATGCAGTAGTCATGAACATTCACCAGGTCACTGTCATAAGATCAACACTTTTATTCATGCATATTCATAGATTTATTGCCCTGCTGTGTTCTCCCAAACAACTCCTACCACAATTATTAGTATTCCTGCTATTAACACAATTGGATATAAATCATTAATAGTAATTTTACTTCCATGATAAGACTAAATCCAAAATAAATCCCATTAGGAATATTGATCTATAGATGTTATTTCATGGGGCAGTGCCAAAAAGTCTAAACTGTCTTACACTGTGATTTATGGCTCATTTCTTTGTACTGTTCCAGTGTTTGTTGGATTTCAGGGTAAAGCAGAAAGTTGTGGGTCATGATTGCTTCCTTTGCACAAGAGACTGGATGTTACAGATATGCCGGCTGAATATAACAAGGTTTTATATTTTGGCCATGGCATGGTGAAATTTCTCTTTCCTGATCTACTGACATGTTCTTTTCCTGGAAATGTTTAGTGGAGTTTGCCATACTTCAAATGTTTAGTGGAGTTTGCCATACTTGAAATATTTAGTGAAACCCTGAATCAAGCTAGAAATACAGATTGTTGCATAAGCAGAGATAACATGGTTGAAAGGTTTCTCTAACAAGGGAGCTGTTCTGGTCCTATTTAAGAAACATACAAAAATTGCATCCATAATGGGCTACCATAGATGTATTGAAAAAAGATTCAGACAACCACTAGAAGGGAGCAAAGAGTGACATCCAGTGACCATCCGGATTTTTGAAACCATCTCTGGGAGCTTTTAATTTTCTAAGGTTGCAGGGAAGAGTGATGGTGGAGGTACAATAGTGGCTGCCACTTAATCAGACTAGAGCTGAAAGGGACCTTGGAGGTCTTCTAATCCAACCCCCAGCTCAAGCAAGAGACCCCGCCTATACCATTTCAGACAAGTGACTGACCAGTCTCTTCTTAAAAACCTCCAGTGATGAAGCCCCCACAACTTCTAAAGGCAAGGTGTTCCACTGATTAATTGTCCTCACGGTTAGGAAGTTTCTCCTTAATTCCAGGTTGCTTCTTTAATTAATTTCCATCCATTGTTTCCTGTCCTGCCCTCTGGTGCTTTGGAAAATTAAGTTGACTCCCTCTTTTGGGGGGCAGCCTCTCAAATACTGGGATACTGCTATCATATCCCTCCTAGTCCTTCTTTTCTCTAGAGTAGCCAAACCCAAACACTGCCATCGTTCTTCACGCTTTACTCTGCAGGACTTTAATCATCTTGGTTGCTCTTCTTTGTTCTTTCTCGAAAGTCTCAACATCTTTTTTGCAACTTGCTCCATGCTAGCAGGAAAATTACAGCAGAACGTAAAAAAATATATATATCTTAATTCAGAACCTGAAGGAAGTCGGGTGCGGATTTGTTCTCCTGGAAAGCTTTCTAATGCACATTTCCGCAGAGGAGGGAGGGGGGAGGAGAGAGAAACACATGCAGACAGCGCTCGAACTCCATTGTTTGCGCATTCCAAGCCTCAGCCTCACTGAGAACTTAAGCCCTTTGGCTAAGCTTTGACATGTCGCGCAAAACACTCCCGCCAGCTTGATGCCCAGTATTGAAATGAAGATTCGCCTGCAATAGTGACGGAGACGGTGCATTGTTGAAGTAACTCAGCCAGACATAACTGGACGGCGAGAGAAGAATCGGGAAGATTATACAGGCCCACATGCAGTTGTGGGTTCTGAACATTTATTAAAGCGCCGTAAGTCAACCAGGGAAGGAAAAGTTAAATTAAGGCTAGCTGTGGAGACAAATAGAAATGAAGGAGGAGCCTAAGCCACGCACCGCCAAAGCGGAGCGGGGACCGAGACGCTCTAGGCGGGCTCCTGAGAGACGGCAGGAGGCGTCCCTGTTGCTATGACATCCACTGCGCATAGTGATTGGTGGAGTCAGCTGTGCCGCAGGGACGACTGGGAGCGGAGTAGGCGCTGCGGGTTTAGAAGCGGCGGCCTCAGGTAGCGTGGGGGCGTTGCGTCAGTGGACCGTTGAACGGGAAGGGAAGGTGCAAAGGCTGGGGTGCCTGTCCCAGAGAGGGGTTGAGGCGTAGCCATGGGTAGGGTGGGGAGAGTCGGGCATTATTCGAGGTGGAGAGGCGGGAAAGGGACGTCCAGGAAGACCTCTCGCTCCATTCGCTCCTTTCTTCGCAGGTACTAGTCACCATCATGCCTACTTCCGAGCCCCCCAAAAGCAGGCGGGAGGCAGTCTATTCCTCCCCTGCTAGTTCTGATGACGAGGGGGCCGGCAAGTCTTCCACTTTCTCCCTGGTCTCTGACAGTTTCCATCCAGAGTTATCAGATTTCCACCATGAGGGAGAGGGAGAAACAACAACTAGCAGGGGATCGAGCATCCCTCAGAAGATGAAACACCACCATAGGTAATGTGTCACTCACAGTGCAACTTTATACTTTTATTAGGCTTTTTTTTTGATTAAGCTAATGGGGGCCCAGATAGTTTGAAAGACACTGGAAAACTATATTTAATATTAATGGAAAGCATTTTGTTTATCCAAACGCCTCTGCCCTGAGGTGCCACAAACTGAAACAAGGAGTTTTATATCACTACTGGACAGAGCCTAGAAGTCTGCAAAACGGCAAAATTTCCCCTTTGTTCTATTGTGCAGTGTTGCTGTTTGTTCTTGCCCCAATAAAGTGTCATCAAAGTTAACCCTAAAGCACTGGAAGTGGCATCTGTTATACAGGAAAGGGCATCATAGTATTTTTTAAATACCTTAGGTTGGTTAATGGCGTATTTGCCCCAAAGACTAATCTTCAATATTTTACACAGAGATTCTATACTAATTTATAGGAGAAAATGGCTTCTGCTTTATATACTGCATAGAGCCATATTAGACTGAAGCAGTTTATACATCCTACAAATATATAAAACTTAGAAATCCAATTTCTTGCCTAGAAATTTATTTCTAGTTTGTGTTTTACCAGGGATTGATTGGATATTCGTTTCCCATAGACAAGGTGGATGTGTGTCAAGTTAGAAAGTTAGAATTGTCATATCAATAAATAACTGAAAACAAGCTTAGTGATTAGTAAAATTTTAAGAAATAAGAATAAAGTGGATATTCAAGTACTTCACATCCAAGAAGGGGCACAAAGATCAGATTTTTGTGGTCTGGAGGGTTGAATATCCTCCAAATTAGATGGGGACACATAAATTGGAATTGAACAAAATCAGATAACATTGCATGAATGGCTTATATAACATTTATATAACAAATTTTATAAAGATAATTTTGCGCATTTTGGTTACTTTCAAATATCCATGTTTTGGCTCTTAGTAAATCAGATGAGCACTATCATATAAAGGCATTGATTTGATTAAACATGAAGTGGTATAAAGGCAAGGAAAACAAAGCTGCTAAAATAATCAGAAGTAAACTGCAGAAATGGTAGTCCTGATTTAGGGATCATTTCCCCTAAACAATTGTGTTGAGACTGCACCTCAGAGAATTGGACCATGGATCTCTGAAAGGGACCCGTTTGGAAGACTGAAGAAATGATGTCTACAAATATTAGTATTTGGCAAGACTTATCTTTACCAAGACAGGAAGGAGCTTGATGTATATTCTTAGTTTTTGTAGCAAGTGTATTTGTATTAAAAAATAATAGAAAAAGGAATGTTCTTGGATTACAATATATTATAAATATCATTTTGTATTTATGTTTAATGTGTTTAAGGAATTAAAGTTACTCATTAACATTCATCTACGATCATTTCCCAGCCAAAAAAATCTGGACAGAAACTTTACTCACCTTCCCCCTCCACCTTCAAATTGATAACCATTATACACTATTTTAATATTTTAGGAAAACAAACATTGGTATTCTATCACAAGGCCTCATCATTTGAGTTAATTTCAAAAGTCATAGTATAATTAACAATGAATACTTTGTTGCACCTCTAAAAATCAAAAGCATGCATCTGAATACTGTGGCTGCTTCAAAAAATCCAGGGTACTGTGGTAACAATTGCATACTCATTGGCTAGCAAACAATGTGTTACAATAGGACCAGAGCTTATTTTTCTGTATCATAAAGACCTTAGACATAGATGAAATGTTCTGATTATCATTTTTATGATAATATACATTTTTAACTAAAATTAAATTCACATATTCATATTCATTCATATATATTGAAAATACATATTTAGATCAAATCATGAATTTAATCATGTCATTTCCCCCCTCCATCCAATATAATTATGAAAAATCTGCAATTCTGAAATACATGGGTATGAGCTTTTGATATTTTTTGGCATATATCTGAGTACAATATTTTATATATGCATTGATCACATTCTGAATGAGTGTTTACAGTATACTAATGCAATACAGAAAAGCCGTATCTTCTGTGACCAGTATACATTGAAAAAAAGTTTATTGGAGGAAAACAGTTTCATTTTAATTGAATTTATTAGTTATTGCTATATATTTCTGTATACAGGAGGAGAGAGACATTGTGCTATATGAATGGAACTCTGTATAACATTGGCTGAAATCTACTAAGGTTATACTGATTTTTATTATAATATAATTTTTTCTCTCTTTCCTGTGACCACTTTCTGTTTTCCTACAGAAGCAGATTTATAGAATTTCATGGAGAATGTTAAAGGCAGAGAAGCCTACACAGTAGCAAACAAATTTTTGAGTAAAGTCCCATAATTATAGTAATATTGTAAAGAACTATTCATAAAATTACTTGTTTCTTGTTTTATTTGAAAACAGATTTATTTTAAAATAGTATTCATAAACACTATTGCATCTGATTTCTTATTTGTCAATTCACAGTCTGGAACAAATTAAAGATAAAAATAAACATTCACCTGCTCATACTAGTCTTTCACCATGGGAAGAATG